ACCTCAACTGTCTCCTTTAAATTGCGTGTAATGACTTGATCAATCAATCAATCAATCCTTTAGAGTGCGCACAATCATTTGAGTAATGAATTAAACAAAAAAAAAAAAAAAAAATCGTTTGAGACAATCGAGTGATAGGTGGTGATGAAAAAACATCAGAATGTGAACAGGTACTTTTTCTAGCACATGAATAGATTGATACCTAGCTACATGTAAAATCAAGTCTTTCCTATGTATCATTAGTTGAATCGGCCCCAACTCCCGGATGTGAGCCCTAGAGATAAATAACTCTTTGTAAATTCAATCCGAGCACGCATTCTGGAAGTTTACCAGAAGCTGATTTATGTCCGGCCAAGCTACACTCAAGGTTCTACAATCGACTCTCGATATAAGGATACGGTCGGGACCGAGAATCTGTATCCTTATAAGACGATCATCATTATAGGAAGTAAGGAGGGACAGGTAACCAGCATTTCGGGACCGCTGATATTTGCTATCCTTATAACGAGGGTATCACTATATGCAGTATCACTATAACAAGAGTCGACAGTATATTCATCCCATTATATTCTTTAACTAACTTATGCCCGGGAAAGCTGTTTGATTAAGGCTTGCTCCAAATTTGTTCCACTACCAAATTATGCTGTAGGGTGAAATATATCAAAAGCGTTAATCAGCTATCGAGTGTTACATACTCAATTGGTCAATTTAGTCATAGAAGCGACATTTTACAATAAAGTGTCGTAATTGAGTGGTATTGGAAAACTTGAAAATCCACTATAATTTAATTTTTCACTAGAATTAATGAATTAAAAAAAAAAAATTTCACTAGTACTACCGATAAGAACGACCGAGTGATGGATAGAACGCTTAGTCAAACCCGCACACGCGGCTAGACCACAACTGGCCACTCGTGTCTTCCCCTCTCTTCTCTCAACATCAACCACACAACTGCAACAAGTAACAAGTCACCTCGCCATCCTACAAAAGATATCGCTAACGCGTCTCTCTCTATCATCTCGATAACCTAGAGGGCCTACAGAAAACTTTAATAATGCCGAAGAATAAGGGAAAGGTACATATCGCTTCTCAGTTTTCCTTCATTCCCCTCTCCGCGGCCGGTCGCAAAAATTGGATTTGCATTAGCCCCACCAAAAATCTTCAGCCGCCACCAACCACACTGCACACTGCACTGCACCACCAGAGATACACCGCCAAACACCAACATAGAGGCTTCTGGAATTTTGATAGCTGATGAGTTTTGCGTATAGGGTGGTAAAAACAGGCGTAGAGGAAAGAACGAAAACGACAGGGAGAAGCGCGAGCTGACCTTCAAGGAAGATGGCCAAGGTTCGCCGAATCCTCTTTGTGTGGCAGGTGCAAATTTTACTTTGACCAAAACTAACCACCGGCCCTTCTCCTGTAGAATATGCGCAAGTCACAAAGATGTTGGGAAACGGTCGTCTAGAAGCCTTATGTTTCGACGGCGAGAAGCGTTTAGCCCATATTCGTGGGAAGCTTCGAAAGAAGGTAGGCTGCCACTCACGCCAGATATATCGATTGGTCTGCCGCTCATACATTCTATTCTAGGTCTGGATAAACCAAGGAGATATCATCCTTCTGTCACTCCGTGATTACCAGGACGAGAAGGGAGACGTTATCTTAAAGTACACTGCGGACGAGGCTCGTTCGCTCAAGGTTTACGGCGAACTTCCCGAAAATGCCAAGATCAACGAGACTGATACTTATGGTTTGCAAACTCCCTTATATCATCGTACACATTCCTTCCTCTTTACTAACCTTTATCCTATCCAGGTCACGAGGGTGGGGACGAATGCAATTTCGAGTTCGACGTCGAAGCTGGCGACATCGATATCGATGCTGTTTAAGGCTACCACGTTATTTCTTGTCTTTTTCTTCTTTTCCTTGGGCTTTTGGGAGGGGGGAGGGGGAGAAAAGGAGTTCACTCGTTTCATTTCTTCTTGAGATGGGGGGGAAAAGCTATATTAGGTGTTTTTTCAATTCTTTTTTTTCTTTCCTTTTTTCATTGACTCCAATTATCACAAACCTTGAAACGATCGAAACGTGTAGAATGGATTGCGATGACACAAGTTACTATTGCCTCATTAGAGGAGGACCTGGGAGGAGAGCAAAAAGTGGTGGGAGTATAGTGCCAGTAATCATGGATATCAGATTCCAAAGGTTTTATTGGACCTTTCTTACTTTATGGTTAGCAGAGCTGAGTACATCTGGATGTGAAGGTGGTCTGGTTCCATATCCTCCGTCCATTTTGTGGAGAAGTCCCAGTTCTTTGTAGACCTATCTCTATTGGCTTGTAATGAAAGTTTATTTGTGTAGATTCAGATGGTGAACCACAGAAACCGGAGAGATAAATTAGATGTTCGCTACCAATTTGCACTTGCATGGGATCATCCTCGTATGCCAACCATCTCGAGTGACGAAACATGATCATATGATGAATCTCAATATTCGATAGATGTAGTTGATCATCTCATGCCCATCAACGCAGCTAAGGTATTGCATAAATAATTGGGAGTTTGAGTGATTTATTCTATTGGGGGGCTTACCGCTCGTATGAACTTCTACTTGTCGGGGTCCAAATACTGGGGTCGAAGAGGTTCGATGTAAATCAAGTACATGTATGTGTATTGTCTGCCTAGATGCACAGAGGACTTGTTTGGCCAATTATCTCTGAGTCATCGACTACATGTACTTACATGTACATATGCAACACAGCCATGATATGTATATCGATAATCTTCAGCCTTCAGCCTTCTATTCTGCAATCTACACTGCAAAGAAGTGGTAGCTGGCATATATCGTCTGCACGAACAACATCATGCCATCGTTATAATTTCTGAGGAGTACCAGGCATTACGTACACCCATGCATCATATCAGGGGGGTTTTGTTGGTCACCCATAAATCCATAAATCCATAATTATTTTTCTCGGGCAACGAGGAGACGATACGATCCACCTCCACTAAATCTAGTGGTATTGTATACGAGCTGATGCTCTTCGAGCTTCTCCTCCTTGGGGCAGGAATAAAGTATTGGGCAATGCAGGCTTTTGGTTTACTAATGGGTGCGCGTGCTAGGCGTGAACTAGGTACTGCAAAAAAAGCCTAGACAAAACTTGCATTGTCCAGTACTTTTTGCCTGCCCCGAGTACCTCCTATCGAGTGGCTGAAAGGTTCCTGATTGACACCCACACGGAAAAAAGAAAATAATAGTTATCTGCGCACATACATGGATAGTTGGTCTTGATCTTGGCTAACTTTATTTCGACGCGACGTGCGCAGCTGCATGGAGTCGTGGACTGGACCTCCGACCAACCCAACCCAAATCTGATCCTCAAATCATTCCCGCCGATAAGCCTACATATGTACCTACATGCAACCAATCCACAAAAACTTGTAGGTGTGTACTCTACTCATGGGGAATTGACGCACGGGGGAGTGCAAGCCAACTACTCTAGAGAGGGGCTTGAAGACTCAGTGTAAACTTGTCCTGCGAAGCCCCTGTTAGTTACTCTGGGGCCTGCATCCCATATTTCTGGCCCCGAATTTCGGAGCTCGGCGGCAAGTGCCTAGAGTAGAGTGCTTGACGCACAACATTTCTCAGGCACGCGCAGCATATGATAACCCAGCATCCCAATGTTCCCATGGTTTTGGAGGACTCCAAGCTTTCCCCGCATGTTATGCATTGCCCTTTCCTTCTTAGTTTCGAACATAGGGCCTAGGGGTGTTTCTGCACCGCAAAATCTCAGGGATCACGAATTGGACTGGGAATACTGGGCTTCAGATTGGTCAAATGCGAGTTGAGCCTCAATCAGACAGACCCAAAGCGTAACTTTCAGTCGTGTTGACCAATGGGTAAGTGGTATTCCAGCCCAGTCCGATCCGATGTTCCTGAGATTCTGCGGTATCCCTTGGACGAATGAGACATTGGAAAATCTCTCTCATGCATTACCGTGTTCCATAAAGGAAGTGATTGACTGAACTTAAGGCAGCATGCTGCGAAATATATGGCATACCAGCGTAATATAAAGACTGGCAAACGCAGTAAGTTGTTTACCGGATGTTTCTCACTAAAATATAGAGATCACATGATATATATGCATGAGAGAGATTTTCCAATGTCTCATTCGTCCAAGGGATAGGTAGGAGTACTAAACGTATGCATGCAACCTCATTTAGAGTAGTTTCTATTCACGGGGAAGACCTCTTGGGAAAGGAGAATTGCCAAATAATCCTCGAAATAGTTGTTTACATTGTAACGGTTAGGTGTTGGCCAGATTTGAAGTCTGGAGTATACACAATCAACGTACATACGATAATATGCCTTAAAGATGCTGGTTACAAAGAAGATTGTTGCAAGGGTTAAATCAACATACAGGGCCATGACGCTACATTACTATGAGGCTACCAGTAAAATATCGGCGGAAAGCAGTGGTGCATATAATATACTTTTCATATCAACGCCATCGGTAAAGTTGTTCGAGACAGATACTGCACACTAGTTCGGTGAATTGAATTATATATATATATCCTGTATATAGTTTTGTTTTAATTATATCAACTGTGATTATACCGCGCGTTTATCAAGTCATCAGTTGTAGAGATTAGAAAACTTAGTGAGCGTGCGAGTATATCACTGGTTAATATGCCATATCATTTGCAATTGGTCTGTTTTTAAATTTGGGTCAATGATATGTATTTATTAGTTTCTCAATTCGCCTCACATGTGGAACATATTCATACAAGCAGAAAACAAATATATTCTTTAAGTTTATAACTAAATAAAGACCCAACAAAGGAAACAAAGGGGTGTTGTGGTATGGATTTAAGAGAATGGTTTGGTACAAAAGAAATCTGGGTAAAGGTGAGTAAAAACAAACAACGCAATGGAAACCAATGCCTCTCTGGCTTAACTGATGCTTCTGCAAAGCACCATAGTTATAAATTCGATAAGTGGGACTAGTCGTCTTCCAGAATATCCAAGTCCACAGCTGCCGCTGTGATACCGTCGCCAACGCCATCATCGATCTTGAAAGCAGCTTCATCGAATTCGTCCATCTGTAGGAAGTTGTCAGCGGGCTTGCCTCCTCTTGGGATATACATTCAAAATTGGAACTCACCGATGGTAAAATGGCACCCAACAATAGTTTGGGTATCTGATAGAGAAAGAGGGTGTCTTGAGTTAGAAAGATTCATCACGCCAAATAGGCAAAGCAAAAGTTGAAGTTTGTAGCATACCATTTCCCACCTCTCCTCCTTGCACCATTCTTCATTGGCTTCATCAATCGATTCGAGGGGCATATCCACTAATTTCGATTTATTAGCAAACACCTAAAAAGAAAGCTATTGAATCAAGCGCGGAAAGAAAATGTAGCTTACTTGGTAGGCAATCGACATGATCTCCCACCCGAGGGTGATTGTCAAGGGAAGTGAGTAGGGTCTTTGCACCCTCGTCATTTCCAACGCGAGAGAAGTGGAAAGCAACAGCTTCAAAAAAACTTTAGGTTAGATATGTCTACTCAAGTGATATTATAGGGATGAGTATGAATGTGATAGTATACATACCACTAGGCTTTTCTTTTTCCTTCAGGTGCTGCATGCATTCGAGAATAACCTTTTCAAGAAGGCCCTTCTTTTCACCCTCAACCTAAAGAAATAAATAAGTTAGAACTGTTTCTCGGGATATATAGCGTAAATTTATGAAGAGAAACATGAAATCAAAATCTTACCTGCCCATCAGTAATGATCATCACCAAAAGAGGCTTTTTCATTGCTGTGACGTCTTTGAGTACGAAGGGTAGCAAAATCTTCCTGCGCAACTCTGAACCCATCATGGTAAGACCAATCCAGGCACAACGACCAATTACCCCCGGGACGTCTTCCTTCTTGACATTCGCTTTACCCTGGCGGTGATTCAAAAATCTGACAGATTTGATCCCGGACGGATTGGCTAAGGTGTAAATATCGGCCACCTGCTGAAGAGCTCGTTCAAGAGTTGCAATACGCTTTGCATTTTCTTGAAGTTTCATAGAACTACTATCATCTGTTCCAAAGGTAAGAATACAAACAACTTGGTATTTAGTATCGCGGGAGCCAAACCAATCAACACAACCAGGTCATAAAGTGTCAATATAGACAATTCAATTGCCATTTCCATGGAGCAGTTATATGGCGCCGAGGTTAAGGCTGTCACCATAAGCTCGCCTTGCTTGGCTGCCTCTGGCAAAAGAGGTTCTACCATGGCTTTTAGGGTCGGTTTTTGGTTCGGGTCTGCGATATAGTTCTCATATCTTTCTTTACATTTGTCATTGACACTAGCGCTAGGAAGATCCGGCACAACTGGCGTGGTAGTTGAGGCTGGTGCAGTAGTAGACATCTTTTAAAAAATTCTTATTGAAGATATGTAGATTAAGTGAGGTTCTGTTCTTTGAGTTCGGTTTGCTGCTCGATGGAAGGATGAAGATTGAAAAACTGTGGGAAATCCAGCCTTCTTATAGTGCACGACGAGAGTAGATCTAGAGGTTGAGAACAAGAGGGGCACTATACTACTGCGCATTCGTCATTGAATTGCGAAGAAAAAAAGAAAACACGCGCAGTTCATTTTATGCATGTTTGTGCCTGATAACGATAGATCGGTATCGGTGGTGAATCTGGCTATACCAATCGATATATACTTGTACCAATCAGCTTTGTAGTTTAGTATACGTATATACGTAGGTACATATTGACAATGCCTGGAACTAAACTACATGTAATCTCTACTCTAAAGAATTGCGGGGGGCATTCGATCTCCTCATGCAAAACATGCATCTGAAAATACTGAGGATAAAGAATATATTCCTCTTATTGGACCTTAGCGCATCCAACGTTACAGCGTGAGGTAAAATTATTGTAGAAGCATGGGAAGAGTTCTATTGGCCGAGTCAGCCACCTAAACCCTGTTTTTAGACCCCTGTTTCTACAATAATTCTACCTCTCGCTGTAAAATCGGCCATTTGAGGGTCTGATCATACGTAGGATCGACATTTGAAAAAGCTAACGTTATCACTCTTAAGCTAGAGAGCAGCCTTCATCATCCCATATTTCTCATCAGCGTTCATTTTACTCTGCTGTATTGCTCTTTATCGTGCTGTTGAATATTATCCCCAAATCAAATGGGTAAATCCTTAATTACTTGATCCATGCCCCGCAGCCGACAATTGACAAATCCAAATTTTTCGAGCATCTGATTTGCTAGTTTTTCAGCCTAGTTTCGCGTTTTCAAAACTAGACAAAATAGCACCTCACTTTGCATATCGATCGTCGTGTTGTCCATTTATCAAATATATACTACCGCAGAATCTCAGGAATAACGAATCGGACTGGGCTGGAATACCACTTACCCGTTGGTCAAGATGACCAAGAGTTACGCTTTGGGTCTGTCGGATTGAGGCTCAACACTCATTTGACCAATCTAAAGCCCAGTATTCCCAGTCCAGTTCGATTCGTTATTCCTAAGATTTTGCGGTAAGTTTCATGGAATTGTCAAAGATATCTAGCGCCATTGAGAAGCAGAGAAACCACAGCCTCAAATATTGAGCTCTGCGCATGAGTTGCCAGCAGAATAAGTTCATGTAACTGTGTTACATGTACATTCAACTGATTGGTAGCAGCGAGCAATCACGAGTCAACTGTGTCTACGGATCTGAAACGTGCGTTTGGACATGCATGCGGTTGGGATACTAAGTACATACGTGTATTTGCTTTTTCTCCAGGATGAGATTCGATCGAATTCGTGTGCTGCATATATAGAAAAACCCGTGGCTATTCTCACCATGCTGGAATTTATTTACCGATGTGTACTGTAGAGGCTTCAATTAAGACTTCTCAGAACGACTACATCCACTCGTTCTGCCCATATATTTTTGTACTCTAGGGAAGTCTCCCCAAAACATTCACGATTAGATTTGAGTGTGCTTTGAAGCTTTCAATGAAGTCTTGAAATTTAGATTATAAACCTTACGAGTATTTTAATTTTTTCGATAGAATCAACTTGTGAAGGAAATCCACTAACTGGTGGCTTCGGGTGCATCTGCCGGCTATCAATAATCTAGAATCAATAGGCGCCGGTAGCTCGCTACAATATGTAGCCAGTCAGAAAACAACACCGCCTCTAGCTCTGCGCACACAAATGTCGAATTAGATGGGCGAATTCCGCGAGGTAGAAAGGGAGCAGGGAGCATGCAGGGATCAATTGAAATCTGTAGGCTCAAAAAAAATTGGGACGTAAGAGATGTCCACATGAGCTGGGTGAATAAGATGATTCACACGTAGACGTGACTAACATCGAAGCTTCAAACCAGGCGCTTTGGAGCAGATTGCAAACTGGGCAATCATAAATTTGTAGGTACTCACATCATCACACACCGCCTGAAGTAGTTGGGGATTTAGCTTGAGATCCGATCAAGTTTCCGATATAATACTTAGTACCTAGTTGCCAGCCTTGCTATTTTGGAAATTGATCCATAACGACGTCATGGTATATGACGATTGAAGCTTTCATGCTTACTTACTTTAAGCCCATTTGAATGCTGTGTTTTGCACGGTGCTTATTAATATTTTGTTTGTATATTCTTTCTGAACGTCGATATATATCCTTAGTTACTAATTTGATGGGAAGTCATTTTTCGTGCAGAGTTTATAATTTATGGACCTACATTAACAATTACAGCCACTCTATATGATCACAAGGCTTAAAACCCAACGCTTTAGAGATAAGGCTGTCCCTCTCGGAGAATCCTTTGTAAAGTAGAACATGCGTATGCAGATATGGGGCGATCTGCGATCCAGCCTTGTGATATTATAATCACTGAGTGGATATCACTAGTACTACTATGCATTGCCTAGTTTGTGCAACTAACATGCATATGTATACCTTCTCTGAACCATAGTCATGTAGTTCGAGGTATGATAGATAGTACATCTATACTTATCAAAAGTAGGTATTGAAGTTGAAACCTTCGACATCACTGGACCCGATAGGTTGGAAGGTCCCGTACTCTTGAGTAGCTCATATGATTCAATGATATTCAATTAACACTAGGTAGTTACTGGCTGATCATTCCAGGTACATATACGTAGACAGCCGATCACCATTTAATATGGGTGTATATGTTTCGATAATGTTCCAAAGAAAATATTCTGGTTTTGCCACTGTGAATATGCAGATAAGGCGACTTATACGAAACCATGAGGTTCCATCGCACGCTACATCTACTCTAAGTTACTTCAATAGTTCAAGTAGTAAGTGCGGCACCTGTGTAGCTGAGAGTATGCCAACAAGTCATCAATTGCAAGGAAAACCACACATTTGCCGGAAATAAGGGGCTCCCTTTAAGTACCGGCCAGTATCTTGAGTTACAATTTCTAATTATTATTGAAAATGAAATAGGTAACTACATGTAGGTACATTACTTTAACGTCGGAACTAGGTTTTTTATAAGACGGAGTTTTAAAACTAAGTCTTCGAAAAGCTTGATATAAGCCTTGTGTCTCAAATAAACCTAAATCTGGCCTGTTTTTGATATAAGTAATCGTGACTTTTGCTCAGTACTACACATATATAGGGCTATATTAAGGCTTTCTCTGGGGGTAAGGCTTCGAAATAGAGAATAATTAGGAAAATACGACGTAAGATTAGAGCTCAAAAGGACAGCTTTCTCGGGTTTCTGTGGGTTAGGGCTAGGCAATTAGTAAATATCAAACCGTGTTCTTCCATCTGTTTAACCCCCCCCCCCCCCCAATCTCCCAATCGTCAAAATTAATATCAAAACAAGAGCTAATCAGCGAACCTAGAAGCAGCAGCAGCAGCGAATCTAACAGCAGCAGCAGCAGCTCGAGCACCAAATCCAGCAACAAATCGATCACCAAACCCAGCACCAAATCCACCCAATGGAGCGAAATAGGTCGGTGGGCAGGTAGGCAGGTAGGCAGGTAAGCAGGTAGGCATGTAGGCAGGTAGGCGCGCAGGTAGCAAACTGACGATAAACATGTATATATATATCTAATTGAAAATTACGCTTGATTTTTACGTGAGATATCACCGATGTCAAATCAGTATGAAAACAGGCCTACAGAGACATCCGGATCTTCCAATGAATAAACCTTATTAAGCCTTATTATATAAAAATACTTGTCAAATATCGTCAGCCTGAATAGCAATAATCCTCAAACGAAACATATGTTTACAAGGAACTCAAAAAGCAAAAAGAGCTTATCGTCAAATATACCCAAAATCAAGCTTATATAAGCTCAAAACGAGTCTTATAAAAAGCACTGTCCTGGCGCTAATGTAGCATGGGGTACATTCTGCCTACAATACTCTAAGCTCAAATCCTCTCTTTTGCTTTTTTGAACCACCAAGGACATAATCTTATCTGGAAAAAAGTCTTATATTAGCCTTAAAAAATGCATAAGTCTTAAAATATGGAAAAAAGGCTTATTTCGACATAAGTATTTTCACCTGAAGTTACTTTCAGTAGGCTTATTTGCAAAAAAAGGATTATATCACAGAAAACAATTATTTAAGGCTGATATGAGCCTGTTTCAAGTCTTCCGCAATTTTTATTTTTTTACCCGTTTCGACGGTAAAGTAGTTACTAGTGGTCGACGATCTAGTCGTTTGAGGCAAGCAGAGATAACTCCTTCCAGGTGCTCGAAGTAATTAATGCAAGTACGCGTATCCCTTGGCCTCCAAACTACATGTAGGCAGATTTAGACTGTGGCCCAGTGACTTTGCCATATGATTGAGTGGAGGGTCCCGAATCTGCATGTCTCACCAGGTCAATTGAGGGATACGAGCTGTTCATCTAAGTAGAAATGATATCGTGGCGCTAGCTCTAGAAACTGACGTGACAGGGACCGGATTTTATGTAAGCAAAAATACGCGTATCATAAAAACGATTATTGGTATGTATGTATTGCAACGGATACCAAGACGCATGTACCTGAACAGCATGTGTGGTTAAAATTAAAACGGTCTAGTCTATGGGTTGATCATGACCTTTGGAGGAACAATACCATTTACGAGTATAGCAGATAATGTCGGTAGTTTAATCAGCTACATACGTAGTATATAGGTGGAAGTACTGCTAGCGAGCCCGATTAGAGGGCTTCGTCATCCAAGTCTTTATTAACGTTGTGCATTTCTTTATACAAGGCCTAGGATGCATGGTGGAGTGTATCGAGTTTCACCAGACTCCTGGGGTTATGAATTGGAACATATTGAGGCATGCGCGCACCCTATAAGATGAAAAACTCTACATTACAAACTGTACTTCTAGAAATGGTATAGTCATTAGATTAAAACCGTATAAACTCGTTATTCCGTCTAGGTAAGCTGGTGGTGATATGTACATATGTACTTATATAGCATCCAAGCACAATACAAAATAAGACGGTACTTGAGGCATGCTTGTATTTTCTCGCCGATAATTGGGCGAGTTTTGGATCTGGATTGCCAGTACGTACTTGATCAGCAATGTCTTCATGTACAAAACTGTCTTTAGAACTAGAGTATTTTGTTAAATGCTCGGATACTATGCATAGGTATATGCAGATTTTATCCGACGTAAAACCATTTAAACCCCTCAAGTAGCCGAGGCTCACGCCTTTCAATAATAATTATAGGTTTCCAAGGCAAAAAGTTGTCTTTTTCATGGCCTAGAACATATAGGATCACTCGCACCCTCGAGAAGCTCAAGAACCAAATTTTACATCTTTTGCGTTTAGTTAGTTTATGAATGAAACTATTCTGTTCTATATCTTGAAATAAATTATGCTTTGCTCACTTTACTACGGGCTACCCAGACATTGCATTCGATAGTTGGGAACATGTCTCGCAATCACAATACATCACTCAGCCTTGGCACCTTGTGCCGTGCCTGAATGACCCTGGATGCTTTTGAGGGTATACTTGGACACGGTCCTTAGTAAACGGCGTGTTTAATATCTTGATTACTATCTTTTAAATTGGTTTCGTTCTTTATGAGCACATAGAATCGCACCTTAAATTCGGAGGCCAGCGTACGCGTGTGGGGGAGATTTTGTTTTCTGATGTTGCTACATATGGCTCAGTTCACCATAGAGGGTGAGTGTGTCAACTTGAATTCTCATTGACAGAAACCGACTTTTAGTTCAAAAGAAGTGTGGTTTAGGGTTTTGACTTGAGGCTCTCCCTCTAAAATTTATTGTCACTCAAGTTGACACACCCAGGCCCCCTATGGTGAATTGAGCCATATGTAATGATCATATGAAGATAGTGTGTGCTACGATTTGATTTGATTTGATTTGGAATCTGTAATCGAATCAAATCATAAGATATTACGTATTAGACCGGGTACCGTGTCAGACCTAGAAGAGTGTCAATCCCACACAAATTTGTATGAGGATTTCTGCTGCCAAAGCTATCTCCACCTCTTGAGATAATATTTACTATCAGATTTTTACGAAATGAATTTCACTTAAAAACACAAGCATTTGAATAGTTTCCAGATTCACTATCCTCTATTATGGTGATTGTAGAGTCTTCGTTTTTCGAAGGCTTTAGGTCTAGTTTTAGTGGCGTTGCCATGCGACACACTTATAGGTCTGACACGGCACTCTACTCGGTCGAAAAATCATGATTTGATTTGGTTTATTAGTCTCAAGAAATCGATTTTAATCGTAATCACGTACACCCCAATAGAGATCAGGTGTTCAAAAGCCTTTTAAAGGGCTATTTTGCTAAATTTAAATTTAGGTATTTCCTGAGATGATCTTCATATAAGAAAGGTAGTCGGGAAACGCGTATATTTTGAAATCGATTGAAAATCGATTTTTCATTGGACACAATCATAATCATGATTTGATTGCATATCTTAAATCAAATCTAAATTAAAGTAATAAATTGAACGGTTTTTAAATCATGGGGTGTACACTATATGAACGAACGTTACCGCGAGCGATTTAAGTAGCCCACCATCCCATCCGCATTAAGTACTTTTGGAAATGCAATGCAACTGGTGTCTCTGTGCTTGTGCTGTGCCTTGCCTTGCAGTTGAGGAAGACCGCCATCCGGTGCTCGAGTTATATCGATAATTTCGCCCGTGGCCGGTTAACATAAATAAATCTATTAATATTACTAACATATATAACGACATGAAAAAGGTTGGCGCATGCAGCTGCCCCCGCATGTGTGAAGGTCGACAAGGTAAAAGACTAAAGAAATAGGGTAATCGCATACACCAACCCGCAACCCAGAAACCCAGCAATCTAGTGCCCGTGTATCTGTCAAGTGTAGTTACATCATGTTATCACGGTGTAGGTGTTGCGTTCGCTGTTCCCTGCACAGACGTCAATGGGTTCTGGGGTTTGGCGTCACGTACAGAGCCACATACATAACATGTTTCAATTGCAGCCTTCTCAATATCGGCTTCAGATTTTTTCCCCGTAGTTAGTTCCTTCCATTTTTGAGGCCAATCCTCGTAGACATGGTCAAACCAGCAAGTTAGGATCCCAATAACAAGTGTAACAGGCGCGGAGATTGCCCAAAAGATTGTGTGTTCTGACTTCGCTCTGTGAACCCATCCTTCGTTCATGCCAAGATACTATCGTCCCAGGTCGTATTCTCAGCCAAAGTCCAATAATAACAGAAATTAATATAATTGTATTTAGAAGACTTACCGAAGCGAAGAATGATAATGGCAAGAACACCATGGTTATGAACATCAATGCTGTCATTACTCGAGCTTGCTTTTGGATTATTCGATTTTGATAGATGACAGCACCGGTGTGTCCCCCGGCCTCTTTCGTTTGATTTTCAATCGCATGCACGATTGTGATGGTTTGATCGGGAATTCTTTTATTTCCGATTTCTTGTATCGCATCTTGGACCCCCTTAGTCGTATTCATTGCCATTTCCACCTCTATAAAACTACAAAACTATCACAAAGGTTAGCAAACTTATTTAATGGTTTTTGGAAGAGTGAGGAAGTACAGATTTTTGTAGTTTCCTCACACCCTTGACTAAATCTTTGAGGTTTTCGTAAAATAGTTTCCTTTCTCCGATTATCTTATCAATTGTCGGCAGTGCGGGTCTTATTTGTTCCTTCATCTCCCAGAGCATCGGTATCTTCATTGAATTTCTGTCGTAGGTATTCTCCTGGTAGAAAGTGTTTTCGTAAATTTGTCGAAGTTCTTTCAAAATTTCTATTTGTGATTTCACTCCGATATTTAGCGCTGATATATCCGTATTAAGTCTCTCAAGATTTGAGATTATGCTGATGTCATCAGTGGAGGTTAAAGAGCTCATGCGGCGTGTGACTATGTATTGCTATGAGGTTGGTGCAAATATTAGCGCTTAGATCATATGGATTTAAATCTGTAAATGGGATTACGAACTTGTTCGCATAGCTTGTCCTCAAAGAAATTGAAAATCTTCTTTTGTGGACATTTAAGGACATTAGAAATAATTGTGACTAGCGAGCGGTAAGCGCCATGTCTTTCTTGATACTGAAACAGTGGTGGTGGCCGCCCCGGTTGTCCGTCTTCTTTAGATCTAAATATTGCTATCATCTCTAATTAACGAGGTTTGTAAGCATCTGATCATTATGTATATATATGTTTGTGTAGGGGGAACAGAATGTCAAACCATTGTTAATAACCATCAATAAGGCTTTGTGAACTCTAGCTTCCTTTGTTTCTGAAGATAACGAGACTGGATTATCAAGCTTATTTTTATCGCGCCCCAGAGACATGTACTCAGGCAAACTGAAACTTTCAGGCATATCGCTTTTTATGGACGTTCCAAGGCTGAAGTAGGGCAGGGAGACCCCAAGAACTAAAGCCTGTCCTTCGTCTGAACAGTTGAAAAATACGGGAGTGCTAGACTTCAAGGTAGGAAGGTTCGCAGGCATTAGAATCTTACTGAACCGCTTCATCTCTTCCTCCGCTATCTTCTTGGCGTTTTTGACAAGTTCGGGGTCCGCATTTTGATCTTTAATGGTGATTTCTGAATAATCCCAGCTGTTTCTATGAGAGTCGCCAGTTGGCTTGCCTACATCTTTGCCTTTTTTAGAGTCGGAGTTACTAGGAGCCTCCAAATCATCAATGAATTCGGGGTCTTTAGTAACTATTGATTTCTTATTCTTGTCATACAGCATCCTGTAAATATTGCTCTCCATTTCTTGTTGGAGCATCTTCTTCGCATTTGGTAGAAATCCCTGGAATTAAGAAAGGGACTTGTTAGTTTCCATTTTTTCTTTGAGGGTAGGGGGTTTCTCTATAGCGTACTTGGGCGGCATTCTCAACATTAGAAAAGTCCCTGTGCGTTTTAATTAGCCATGAACATATAAATTGGAAGGATAAGCATACATAACTCGTAGATATATCAAGCTATCGTTTTTGGGGTCAGGATTATGCCATAGCTCACGGAAGCTATCAAGTTCCACGAAAGATTCCAGTGAAGCTTCTGACTGCTTATCCGTCTCCCTCTTAGTCATTTCTTGATTCCCATCTTTCTGATGAGAGTGACCATCATCTAGATGTTCAACGCTATAATCGAAGACCTTAACGCTGTTTCCGTTTCCTAGCCCCTGAACACCGGATTCTAATAAAATTCCATAGTTCTGCAATAGACATGTCCGTTCGTTGATTGGTAGTTCTTCAACATCATCGCGGCGCAAAAGTCGGGGGGAGGTTGGGCGTCCATCGCCGAGTACGGAGCTTGGGAGAGTTTGACTAGATGAGGGTTCAATATCAGCAGTCACAGGATGTGAATTGCTAGTTATATCTGTAGAAAACCCCGCAGGCGCCTCTTTAGTTACAGGTGGGCTCGTGGACATTTTGGATCCGTTGAGGGACATTTTGGATCTATTCGAGGTCTCAAGCTGGGTTGATGTGATCGTCATATCTGCTGAACAAGGTTTTGGAGTAAATTTCGAGGGGCAGATGCGGTATATATTGTGCTGGAAAGAAAGAAAAAATCAAACCTCGGATATGCTCGATTTTTGTGACAATCAAGCCTTATTTTCTGCACGGACATCATTGTGCATTGGCCAATTAGCCAATTAGGCCAGTTCTCAATTTTCGATATGTATGATAGTACATAGTGGCTGTGAGGACACGCGTAAAATCACGAGGGGCTATGTAAGCAGTTTAGTTATGTACGGTATAACCGGAGTGCTGTGAACTCTACTATGTATTTATCTGAGTTACATGTTGCTGGTTGACACACAATCAAGTATTGTACTGCGGTAAGTCTTTGGGTTTACTCTAAATCCTTCCTCCAAATCACTACATACTCACGGCAGGCATGAAGTACCCGAATATGCAGCTGCAAGTTTTTGGTGTATTTTTGACTTCTAATCCAATGGAAATCGCAGATTAGGACGTGAATTTTCGGGTACTTGTTACTGCCGTGGGTACAACCCCATCAATAAAGAGGCTGGCTGGTGCTTGTATGTACTCCGCCTCATACTGTCGTGGGTACAACCCCATCAATAAAGAGGCTGGCTGGTGCTTGTATGTACTCCGCCTCATACGGCTTTTTATCCGTCCTGAATACATAGAGTAAGTACATGTACTCTAGGTAGGCTGGTTGGTGTGCGCATGCGCAGCTGCGCAGTAATTGGAGTACTTTAGCGCGCTTTGCGTAGAAACCCTGACGCTTAAGACGTAGTAGGTTAGATTTTCATGTCAATCTTGTCTCAGACGTTTCGTTTGCTGCACGACATTGGCTCATATGTTCCCTCCGGAAAACTCTGAGAACCCGCCCCGAAGTGAGACTCCGGGTGTAACATTCAGTGGAGGCAGTCACTAAACGATCCCCGCGACCGGGGGCGCTTTGGACGAACGTCTCAATTCTTACTTTATCTAGAATGTACGTAAGTATCCCTCCCAGGGAACTACATGTACATGTAGTTATATAATTACATGTATGTACCTACTCTATATCTTAGGGTGTTTCCTGTGATCACGTCTCCTACGTTCTCAAGTTTAACGCATGTAGTCAGGCCATGCAAACTGTTAGAGTAGATAGAGAGGATCGCCGTCTAGGTTTGTTATTGGGTTGTCTTGGCGGAAAACACCCTGGTACAGTAGCCTACTCTACATGCAGTAACCAACAGCAACAATAACCGTGCCTGAATTGTGCAGGTCTGTAGGCTAGACTCTTTCGTCGGGGGTGGAGTCGGGCTGGGTGTGCGGGCGGACCAGGTCCTAGGTCCGCCCGCACACCCAGCCCGACTCCACCCCCGACGAAAGAGTACCTACATGTAGAGTACACTCACTCACGAGGTAAAGGCGGATCCTGTCTGATAGCGGCCAGGGATTTGAGGCCAATAGCAGTTAACTTTGGACCGCCAAGGCTAAATTGCGGTAAAAACAACCACCAGACAGGATCCGCCGTCACTAGGTGAGCGACTGTACCACATAACGTTTTTGACCTAGTACCGTGTCAGACTGGGAATCGGGTCGTTACCATACAAATTTGGTTGTGACTATTGCCGAGCCTTTTCGCCTCCAAAATTCATGTGAAGATTTTAGTGCTGTTGCCATACGGCCCGATTCTACAGTGACAGAAACATGGATAAAATGACTACCACAGTCTTTAGCAATACCGTACCACTACCGTTTACTTCGTCAAAATACGGAGATAAAGCGGCATATTCTCACAATTGTACAATGCCGTATTGATGCGGTATCAGTTTTACCCCCATTTCTGATACTGTAGGTCTGACACGGACCTACCTACACATGATAAACAATTGATTTAGGAATAGCACTGTGGAATTAAGGAAGACTAAGGTTTTTTGACCGAGTACCGTATGGCAACAGCACCAAAATCTTTGGAGGCGAAAAGGCTCGGCAATAAACACGACCAAATTTATATGGTAATGACCTGATTCCCAGTCTGACACGGTACCAGGTCAAAAACGTTACATGTACTCGCGTGTAGGGGAAAGAACCAGAAAATGCAACTGAGAAAACAGGGATTATTTGTATGGAGTGGCGCCGATATGCCATACAAAATAGGCATTTGCATTTTGACATCAACTTATTCTTAACGTAGGGGGTTCGTACCGTTTGCCTAACGATTTGCGACGAAATCAACTACTTGTGCAGAGACCTAATAGGATTTTCAAAGGAGTTTGCATGGCACCTCTGAAGTAGTCGGACGCAGCTTTAAATTGGTACTCTCAAACTTGGCTCTCGACCGCTATGCACACAGCACGATGAATTCCCAATCGCAAGGTGCATGATGCCAAACGTTTTTGATCCGCCAGTTAGGCTCCTACGTTAGAAATCCTACCTTACCAGCCCCATTACCGGTATCCAGTAACTAGAATCTGAGCGAGAAAATAAGTATCATTATAGCAACTATACAGTAATGATAAGTGATGTACACCCGCAGGAAAAAAGTGAGGAAATAACGAGTGTAACTAATCCGAACCCTAATGAAAAGTGAAAATAGAAATGAATAGAAGTAATATAACTACACAATGAGATATAGAATAGATACTACTATGGAGCGGTAAATGTGTCAAAAGTAATTTTACCAACGGTAGTAAATTATTTACCACCGGTGGTATAAGCACTGAATTTCAGTCATTGTATCTGCACGCTATCCTACATTAGTACATTTCCACCAGTATAAACACTGAGTTTCGGTCTTTATGCTGCGCTATACTAAATAAGTAAATGTTCAATCATTAATGCCAAAACTTATGAAAATTTCCCACCAGTGGTGAAATACCGCCACCGATGGTGAGATTCCCCACCGGTGGACAATTTCATATATATTGGCATTATATGGCCCCTTTTGGCCAAAAGGTCTGTGCTTTTATCATAAAAATTAGCATTATAGGGTATAAATACTTGTATTATTTTCACCACCGGTGGTAAAATTACTTTTGACACATTTACCGCCCCATATACTACGGCCTCTGAACTATATTTACTACTTTTTATGACCTCCCTTGTTCTTTACTACTGCTGCAATTCTCTTTGGTATGCTGTCAATGATTTTATGTACATTTTCCCAATCTAGCCTTTCCCACTCTTCCCTAGCTTGGGCTTCAATGACTTTTATATTTTCATTCAGAGTAGCCTCTCTTCGCTTTCCGGACTTGTCAAAAGCATGGCTAGGGAATACTCGTGGGGCTGTATTGCGGGTGCGGGATGTCAAGTTAGACGCACTCGTTGTCACGCTATTCGTTGTTTCCTCACTTTTTCCTGCGGGTGTGCATAGGTAAGTACATACATGCAAAATTTCCAATCCACACTTCGACGATCGGCATGTAGATACTCTAGATACACTATCCATATGGCCATACCAATATTTCATTGGTTCATGTAATACACGGCTATCCCACAAACGTGGTGAGTTTTAATTGTAGTTTGTGGATCATTCGAATAACTATTCTTGTGGGTGTCGTGCGAGTCAGTTTAATCAAATATGATACACAAACGAGAGTACCAAGAAGCACTACCAATTCGTATTTGCAGCAGATGTACAGAAAAGGCAAAGAAGTTTACAGATCATTTATCTATTTGCGGTACCGGTTACCAGATTGCTACGATCCAGATAATTCCGTAGAAGGCTTCTCTAGCCACTCTGACAGTTAACTTAAGTGAAAGATCAACCTTGTAACCGACTTCTGTACCTCTTCTCCACCAACCACCATTAACTGTCCAAGTGATGGGGGGTGTCCGAGTGGCTAAAGAGACGTCTGCGATTAACGGTAGAATAAGATGTATTCTATACACGTATAGTTGAGCGGGGCATGGAGCTACGCAGCTGTGTGTGGAGGCTGAGGCTCTGGTTTACAACGTCAGAGCCTTGGTTTACAACGTCACAATAAAATTTGCGCCTTATATACATGCAGGCACACCTTAAATTCTGACGCTTTAATAAGCTCTTCCCAGCGTCCTTGTTGCCTACTTCTAGCCAAGAAAGAACCAATGTAGTTGTCATTTAGGCCAACTACGTCTGGAGACGCTAGGCCGACTGATCCTGAGTACTAGTGTGTTTCAGAAACGGCATTAGAGAGTATTTGCCAACATTCAATTTCGAGAACTCACGAAATGTGGGTCTAAAAAGTGTGAACCGGAGCTACCAATTTTGAATTTAAGTAGGGCGGCGTGCTGTGAGATATGCCAGGAGGACCACAATTACCCAGTTTTTTCATCACCGTAATTAGCATCATGGGTATTAATTTTAAGTCCTGACAGCGTATTTCACAGGTAGCGTGACAAACTGTTTGATTTCCAGAGTTTATTTTGTTATACCGTTAACCAGATCGATTTGGCCACTGAGGGGGAACTGTCAATTTTGCCTCCCGCAACTGTCAGATTTGAAGTGTCAATAGTCGAGATTGACGGTTGGCAAATACTCTCTATTGCCACATTCATACTTTATAAATTTGAGGCACTCGCGAAACCGGTACCGCGGTGCGAACCGGACCTCAACTCAAGAATAATGACATCGGCTGAAAGTCTTGATCAGGTTAAGTTGTTACAACTCTGCTCTAGTACAGCCATAGACTTCTTGCCGCTAGGTCTATGACGTCGATTGCGGCCTTATTCTAATTCTGAGATGACTCAGCAACAAAGAAAACCACCTGTAGGGCCGAGATTACGGAATCGTGAAACGTAAAGTAGAAAACATGGATTGCGAGATTACGTACAATGCATGATGCTAAAGGAACATATGTAGCGAGCTGAGCTATTAGATCACCTGGAGGGGCAAAAAGGCAATCACCTCATGTATCTAATTGTGATCTTCAGCTTCCCCTAGCTGCTACGACTTGGTAGAAATCAATCCTTACTTAAGTCTAGATACTTAAGATATGCAAATGCTTTAGTCTCCCTAACTCTAATGCTTTTATAAAATTGTTCTCCTTCCCAAACCCAGATGACCCAACCCTTGAAACCCACAGCTCTCTAATTGAGGACCAAGGAAACAAAGTAATAAAAATTATAAGGAAAGCGCGTGAAAAGATCTTCTAGTAAGTAGTGTCTGTTCGCACTCGAAAGAAGAAAAATGTATACGAAAAAATAAAATATAAACGCCCTCCCTGAGAAATAATGCGAATAACCTCTCCTCCTCAAATACTAAGAAAGGCAAAGACACCTATCTAGGTATGCCTTTGTCTTTCTTGATGCCAGAGCTAATTGCAATGTTTTTTCGTCCGTCACGTCGTCAAGCGCCGCAACTCCACGCCTATTCTTAATAGTATGATCCGCACCTAGCTCTATTAAAAGCCGTGCGGTCGCGAGGTTCTTAAACTCGGTAGCCCAATGAAGTGGTGTCGCACGTTCTGAATCCTGTGCATCGACATTCGCCCCCTTCTCCAATAATAAACGCACAACATTATCCCAGCCATGTTCGGCAGCGCGATGTAATGCGGTAACAGAATCGTAATCCTTTCCATTAACGTCCACTCCGTTTTCTAATAGTAGCCGTACTATCGTTTCATGGCCTTCGACGGCAGCCCATTGAAGAGCTGTTCGTCCAAAGAGGTCTTTAACGGCAACATTCATGCCCCTTTCTAGTAGCAATCTAGTAACACCTTCGTGCCCGTAGTCGGCGGCCCAATGTAAAGCTGTGCCACCGCAGGGCCGATCTTGGATAATGCTGTGTGCTCCTTGTTCAAGCAGAAGCTTAAGTAGCTTATCAACGTTATCATCGGTAACGCTGCGTCTTATTTCATCGTCATCTGTGATTCGGATATTTGTTCCTTTCTCAAGCAGCAGCCGTATCATCTTTACATCCGCGTTCGTCGCTGCGAGGTAGAGCGCTGTCACACAATGTCTATCTTCGTGGATCGCATAATCTAGGAGAACTGGTGTGAGGAGACTTGCAAGACGCCGGTTTGTGAGGAAGAAGGAATATGTGGCTTTGACACTGTCGAGGTCCTCGGCGATCTGAAGGAGAAGTTCGTTTGGGAGGCTGAGCAGTGGCATGATTAGAATTGCTGGAGGGGAAGAGGGGGGTTGAGATGGAGGGGAGTATGGGGAGGAAGAGGGGGAAGGGAGGTATTTTTATTGAAATCAAACACAGGAGTCAGTGTAGATCGGGGGAGAAGGAAAGGATTAGGAGATTGAATTATTTCATTTTCATTTTGGCTGGCTGTGCATGTGGGGGTTTCTCTCGCGTTGTTGTGTTGTCGATTTAGAAATCAAAACAGCCCTAACCCTACAGGGTACATACATGTTTCGGGTAACCCCTAGCCCATCAGCACTATTAGTTCCGTCTTCAAGAATATCTATCGTGAAGAGTGGTTGTGGAGACAAAACAATTCTAACGCTTCGTGTTAATGTTGCCCACCATCGGACAAAGGGTGGATAGCGAAACGTTATACCGCACTAGTTGAAGAGCGGTGATATAAACTGAACCAGCTCAACGATAGAAATACCACGAAACCGGACGAGAATACCATAATCCTTGAGTAGGGGTTCATAGCTAGTAAACTTTGATAAATATTCAAAGTTACCAGACGTCTCGCAAGAGCTGAACGATTCCATGCTCGTGTCATGATGCATCACTCGATGGCGCCGGAATGTCCGGCCTCGGCTGATCTAGGTAGCCATCAATCCTTGCGATGGCTGGAATGCAGCGGTATTCGGTTTTTGTCCATATGGAAATTCACATAATCGATTAAAGGTGATGTAGTATAGCCCCCGCACTAGACTATCGTGCCCCAAAACAGACCCCAGAGCCTTTTGATTCACGGTCTTGTACAGATGAGGCAGATCCCATGAGCATTTATGGGGAGCTGATCTCAATCCTTCAACCACAGATATCCTTTAGTCCAGAATATCCAAAACCTCGACTGGTTTTCGCTGCAGAACCTACTCGCGAGTAGTACCGGATCTAGATTATGTAACTTTACGGGCATTAGTCATTTATCAATTCCCGGGGAGGTTTTGAGGTGATGTCATGTTAGGACTTACAGTAAACAAAGCGTCATGATTGTTGAGTAGTATATATGAAGTTTCCTTCAAACCCAAGCTCTGTTCCTGGGTGAGCAGAACATGGCGATGTGGCTAGATATTACTTTCTTGTTTGACTTTCTACTCAATCAGTTACCCTTGATACTAGTCTCGTTCCCAGACTGTTTTGTTGTCGCACTGCGTTGTGCGCAGAATCAAAGCAAACACACGCTGGGCACGAGACTACCTTGATACTGTATATAGTTTGGTAGCTATACTATATTGGTTTTGGCGCTAGATTTGGGTGATTATTGGGGCTTGTAATCGCTTCCTCATGATCAGTGAATAACGTCTAGTTTGAGAGTTTGGGCAAATATTTCGTTTCGTGTTCTGCGCCTAGAAATGATGAAGCTATTAATGCAAAAACATCTAATAAATTTGTCAATACTGGGCCCGTTTGGCAACGGGGTCGACTTGTGAAATTTGGTGGGGAACGACTTATCCGCGAAATATTGACTTATTGAAAAGTTTGAGTGTTTGGCAACACATTCTGTCCAGTAAATTTGTAATGCAAAAGTCAACCAAAGTCAACAAATCGATTGAAATAAAAAAAGCTGCCCTGCTTTTTGTTTCCTGTCGCTACAACATCACTCCAACCCAACCACATTTGGTTAACAATTTGACTTACCAAACGACAGGTAACCCACTTTTCTAGAATCAACTTGTCCATAAGTGACCCTTTGGATAAGTCCGTTGCAACGCCTTAAACTGCCAAACGGGCCCTCAGAGTCTCTTCCTTTATCCAGAGGTTTGCACGGTGGCTATATATAGTCCACCGTATGGAGGTCTAGATGTGTGAGGTCTAGATGGGAAACCAATGAAACATTCCGAACACAGGTAGACGAAGAGAAAAGTGATGGAGATTTAACTGGCCATGGTACTACCGAAGAACCAACTACATGTAGTGGTATGGTTGGTTTTGTCAATCAGCTGTTATGCAGCGAATATCATTCAAATGATCTTAGCCGTGTTGACTGTAAAGTGCGGTTGATTTCGATCGCGAAGAAATCAGAATTAATTGTATGAGTGGCGCGTGTGGGAAGAGAGATCGGAGGGACTTATCTGATGGATGTTGGTGTTTGAAGAAAGTAGGCGACCTCTTCGACGAACGTAAGTCAGATCTAGTCCTTATAACATACTTTATCCCGGTTGCTTCCGGATAGGCCGAGCCTTTAGTTTCAATTGGGTTACGCACTCTGAACATCAAACTATGTGCACGTATGTCCACCTCTTAAATCACATCCTCCATGTTTACACTCATTGAACCTGTCGGGGGTGCGCTGGCCCGGCTTTCAAGTTTGATCCACAATGAGGGATCATGTCAATCCAACATATGTTCTAGTGCTTGGCTTCGGCACCCTCCCCCAAGTTAAGCCGCCTGGTAGTCTTACCCTGTCGACAATGATATTGCTGCCCCCGCATATTAATAGGGATGGTATTGAAGCTTAACTAGACGTCGGAACGGATTAGATGGGGAAACAGCCCTGTTATTGTCTTTGTGAGATGCTTCAAGGCGTCTCAACCGTCTCATAATATGCTTGAACCCTGGACAATTGGTCGAGATCAAACTTCTCCGCATTGGAGTCATCCATTATTCAATAATTCGACAAATAACGCGCATTCTGAATAGAGTCATCAGCAAATACTGGGTCTCGATCACTGCATGGAAGACATTTTTAATCTGTAAATCGAACTCACCGAGAGTGTTGGATGCTACGGAGTATATAGGAGGGATGTGGGCTCGCTATGAATTGATGAGTATCGAAGTCATTAGCCATGAATAATTGACTATCAACAAGTCAATTATTTCTTGCTGTTAGTACTACGTATTAAAGGTAACAATCCCTATTATCATGGTTAAACAAGGAAAGGGCAGCTAATGTTGTGTTAAACAGTCATCAATGAAGTAATCAATCAATCAATTGTGTCAAACAGTCACACAAGAGATATGAAATGCGAGTGATAGTGTATGATGTATCCTCCACGACTAACTAACTGATCCTACAAAGGGCATAGACCTTCGAGGCCGCAAGCTTTTACTCCTTAGAATAGCACCAAGAACACATGGTCTAGAACTATCTCGGGTGGTACCTTACAGACATAGTTGAGCCAGGACAGGACCACCATCATTCGCAAATGCGAAATATTCTTTATCGTATGTATCTTTTTCTAGTATTATGGTGACGAGAAATGGGAGGAAATAATATAGAAGCGGCATAAATAAGAGAAATAGACTTTACTAAACGACTTACTGCTCGATATCCAGTCAATCACTACGAAGCTTTCAAAAGAAATTAAGAGTTATAACCTGCCATACCGTCACATTATTGCTCAGGACCAGTTCCGTTATAAATTGCCATTATTAACTCACTTTCATTGAATATGGATGACCCCGCGGCCCTTCTTTCTTTCTTTCTTTTTTTGTAACTCAGATGTTCTTAGCTCCTCGATTTGCATTGCTAGTTTTATTTCTGTTACCACATGTTAATTCGGTATGGTCACAGATCTTATCCTCCCTGAAGAGAAATTAACTATCTTAAGCAGAATAGCCGAAAACTTTCAGCTGCTCTTGGCCACAAGCGCCACCGCGACGTGGACCCGTCCGCTCACTCGCCCCGATAGGCGTCCTCAATAATATTTGGCATCGCCACGTGCATAAAACTAGGCCGTCTTTCTGTCTATCGTCGCCTTGAAAGCTTGGTTTTTAACATCTCTAGTTAAGCGTCAAATCCATTGATGGAAAGTAACACCAGTAATGCCCCCCATCTCCCTAGTTACGTGTGCTCCAGCCTATGGACTATTCATGCCTTTGTCCTTGAAAATATGTTCCCGTGCAGATTACATGTACATACTTATTATAGAAATAGATATGTAGCTGAAAAGCTGTACATTAAGCATTCAAGTTTGCTGGCACATAGAGGCCGGAAGTGTACAAGTAGCGGCCGTGAACGAAATTTTATCCTTCGACCACTCCCAATGCCCACACAATCAAATAAATCCAGAAAAATCGTAAGATTGTGGCTTTGTCATTGGAGGCGTTCGATCCTGGAATAGTAATCTTATCCCCACGATAATGACAACCAGTATAGTACTTAGTTGCTAATGGCTCCGGCCATCACCACCACCACTACAGAGAACATCACCGCCATCACCAGATATCTTGGTATAGAGTCGCAATCATTCCTCTGCCCCCGAAAGGACTCTATTTAGCTATCGCTGGTTTCCCTTGTGGGATACTGGGTGTCGTAATCCCGTGTCGGCTCCATTTTCCAACAGCAGCCTAGTTGGCTACCAGTATATGTCTGTGTGTTGTGTTGTTCGAATCCACGAAGAGGTATGCGTTTTTTTCTTTCTTTTCTTGCAATAGCGGGAGATGACGCTCGTACCTTTCCCTTAATTCCTCTCTAGAAAATATATTATCGTATCATGTAATGTGGATATGTACGGTCTACTCTAGCTTACGGGGACGATGTCCCGGAATGCCCTACTGGTAGGGCAATGTAGAGCAGAGCTCGGCGACTCGTGCAGCTTATATCCTATGTGAAGCATACACGCAATTACGGCCCGCCGAGTACTCTAAAGCTAGACGCAAGCCCGTAAAGCGCTGTGACGCAACGTCTAGGTTCCTGTCTATACAGGTAGCGCAAAGCAATTTGAAATGACAGGAAAATTAAACGGCGACAACCTCAGGAGACAGAGGTATTGCTTTGGTACCAGGATTTTTTTGGTATGGTATAAGGGAGAAAAATAAATCGAGGTGAGCTGAGTTATCTCTGCAGCTCGAGATGCCTAGATGTGCAGTCGTTCGCGGTCACTCGACGAATTAATACTAGCCGCCTGGTTACGAGTAGGGAAGTCTGGAGATCTCACAGCTTAGCTAGTGTTTCTTAGCATACATGCAATTGTAACCCCTGTTAGTCAACAGGTAGCTGATATTCGTCGAGTGACCGTGAACGACTATACTCATATAG